TTTGAGAAAATCACCAAAAACCTCATACCAATGAATTAATTCACCGTGAGATTCAGCCTCGATTCTCGCTTTTTCTATAGGTTTTTGGGTTCGGAGGGTAATATGGGGTGGTAAACGTTGGATAAATTGATATCCGTACATTTTACTAATCCGTCGGTCGGAACCGCAGTATTGTAAAATGCGATTTGCAGCATCCTCAATATCAAAAGCATTAGGTGGTGTATAGACCGAATTAAGGAGCTCGATCCAATGAATCAAAGACTTCTCTTGCGACTCATTTAATGCTTTATTGGTAGCTGCACGCCCTTTTTTACTCGGTCGGCCCTCATTTCGGTTTCGCAGCTTCCACTTTGACACGTTAAAATGGGAGGCTGCAGACTTGATACTCTTAAATTGACCAGAATTATAGGCTTCAAGGGCATTTGAGAGCAAGATCTCTTCTTTTTCGGTAGAAAACGGCATTGTTTTGGTGGAGAGAATTGGGTTTGAAATTGAATAGTTGAATTTTTTGTGTTTAGGCATTGGTTTGTGTTTAGGCATTGGCTCACTGACAGGAGGGGACCGACTGTCGGTGAGTGCTTAGTCACAATTATGGTTTAATGGGCCCCCAAATGGGCCCCAAACATTGCAAACATGCCAATTCTTGGCATTTGCATAAGTTATGTAGACCTTCCTAGTAATTTTGAGTATTACAATTACCACCTGAGGCCCCTAATTGACTGAGATCTCATGGAAATCGACGCAATTCACTGATTTATGAGATTGATGAGATTAACTGATGAGATCAACTGATGAGATCGATTGATTAGATCCCAAGAGGTAAAACTATCTACATGCTAATAATGCTCATACAAATCATCCTCAACATGCCTCCTCTTCCTCCCTGATGTCCGCACTTGAGACGGTGCCGCATGAGACGGTGCCGCATGAGACGGTGCCGCATGAGACGGTGCCGCATGAGACGGTGCCGCATGAGACGGTGCCGCATGAGACGGTGCCGCATGAGACGGTGCCGCATGAGACGGTGCCGCATGAGACGGTGCCGCAGCGATAGTAGCATCGTCATCGTCATCGTCAACATCTATCAGATCACCGGATCTATCACCCTGCTCTTCAGCATCACTGATCGCATCAACGTCGACGACAGCTAGCACCTCAGCTGGCTCCTCGGCATCATCACCTGGCTTTTGAGCCGCCTGAGCCTCCTCCACCAGGATCTGAATCTCATCAGAGCCAAAGAACTGCTCAAATTCCTTCGCCTCTTGCACTTCAAGATCAAACCTTGACGTACAGAGGTACAACATCAGCTCTTCGATAGTTTGCGCCTTCAAAGAGCCCCGGCGATAGTGGCAGATATCGCGTGCAGTGTTAAACAGACGTTCAACTCCAGCACCTGTGGCTGGAATTGCAAGGTAATCTCTTGCAAGTGCGGCAATAGCAGGGAAGCGATATTGATTCTCTCTCCAAAAGGAGAGCGGCTCATCAGATATAGTTAAACCTGTAAGAAATTAGTATCATGAAGATAGGGATGGGTTTTCGGCCGAAAAACCATCTCTCAAGAAAGAATAAACATAGAGATTAACTTACTGCCGTCGAGATACTGCGTCATCTCATCATCTTTAGTCGGGCCTAGCGTTGCTTTACCAGCTTTGCCTTTGCGTTTGGAGAGAGACTTCGGGGGAGCCATCAGGCCAAGAAGGAAGGATCTTGGCATCGATCCAGAGGAAGACACTTGCGGGCTATTTAAAGTAGTAAGACGCTCCTGGATAGGAGTAAGTGCCTCACGGAAAGCCACTCGATACTGCTCACGGATCTCTTTGGCATCCTCCCAGTTATCAGATAAAAAGAACTGGAATCTACTCTCCGGCGATAGCATCGTACAAACCGCATAGATATGCCCGCGCATATGATCCGTCTTCTTATAGTACTCCGACAGTTTTGAATGGCTTGCTCCGAGGGAGGTAAGCATCTGCTGTTTCCATGGAACACGTTTTCGTTGTAGCTGCGACTTGCACTTCTCAAGGTGTTCAAAGAGCTGGTTATAGATCCTGAAGACAAGAAACGACGTCGCCTCTCGTGTCTTCGAAAGGGCGAGCGTAAAGTCAAAGAATGGCTTTGTGAGATAGATCAGATAGTCAATTTGGCGCCATTGTTCATCATCAAGTTCGAATTCTGTACAGTTGAACTGACGACAGTATTCATTGATAGCAGTACGGAGTCTCTTCGCCCGGCGTAGCATCAGAAACGTTGAATTCCATCGAGTTTTGACGTCCTGGATCGGCATAAGTCCTTGCCCTGGAACTTTGCCTTGGCCTTTGTCGAGGTCGTGTTGGACTTTGAGGAAGTGATCTCGACGCCGAGGGCTCCCGCGGATATAAACAGCAAGAGATCGTATCCTCTTTAAGGTATGCGCAATGTCCCGTTTCTTAGACCTGGCCTCCGCATTCGCCTTAGCAAGGCTAATCTGTTGTTCCTCTGTCCAGACAGTCTCGGCTTGTTCATTCTTTGGGCGTGCTTTAAGTCGGTGAAGTAGTTGGTTCAGACTTAATTGGATGACATGAGCGAGACAGGGGACCCGGATGACGTTAAAACCAGTAGCCGAAGCCGAAGGCTCTTGTTGTAAAGACTGTTGTAGTGCCTTAACCAGAGTCTCATTATTCGATGCGTTATCGGTGGTTATTCCAAAGACTCGGTCCTTAATGCCATGTTCGGTAAGCGTCTCCATCAGAATAGCACTTAGGTTTGCACCTGTATGCGAACTATGAAGGGGTTTAAAGCCGAGTAGCACCTCACGGTAGACCCATTCGGCATCGATGAAATAGCCAGTAATAGCCATAAATGCCTGCTGAAATGGAGATGTCCAACAGTCTAACGCAATCGAGATCTTTGCATGTTCTGGAAGCATTCTGAGTGTATCATGCTGTCGTTCTTTAACACGGCCAGACAGGCGACGTCGAATTGTATCAGCGGAGGGCACGATCGGAGGGCTTAGGGCGGATTGTGCCTAGATTCAAGACTTAAGATTTAGTTAGGTGACGAGGCAAATAGAGGCTGATTGGTAAAGACGGCGGATTTGGAGGATTTGGGCGATTTGACGCCTACGGACTGGCGTCTGACGGACTTACCTCTGCGATGAGCTCACGAAATGCTGGATTTTCAACGATTTGGAATGGAAGCCGGTTAGTAGTAATAAACTCCAAGATTTTACTCTCAAAACCTTCTTGCGAGAATGTCTGGCTATGACTACCCTGATCATGATGCTAGTTAGTAGGGTCTAGTAGAGCTAGGTATGATAGTATACCGTTTGAAGGAACCTCGTCAATTCAGCCCTCTGCCGGCGTCCACTTGTAGCCTTTTGGCAGGCTGAGGTCTGAAGATGACGGGTAATTGTTGTCGTGCCATGACGACCAACCCTCCCATTGGCATCCTTCTTAGTAGTATAAGGGTGCTCAAGAATTGCATCGCAACGCTTACACAAGACCTTTGGGTTTCCAGTCGCCGTATGGGCCACTTGCTCAAACTGTTTCCAGGTCTCCGAAGCGGAGCCATGCTGTGACTCCCAAGCGATCTTGTTTTTAGATCCATAGTCAGTCTCCAACCACCAGTTGACCCAATCAGTGTGATTCATCGCGTCGTAAAGGAAAAACTGGCCTCCTCTCCTACCAGGACCGACACGTTGGAAGCGTTCAAGGGGATCTAGGGCGATAGACGAAGGAACAGACGGCTCAACGAACGAGAAGCTATCAACCTGCCGAGAGGTGGACGGAGTAGCTGGGCAAAGAGAAGGCGTAGCAATTGACGAATTGTCGGGCTCAGTGTCGAACAGGCCCAACTGGGAGAATCTAAACTCCTGGCTTTGCGACATGATCAGGATGACAACTTGATAGTAGGTTCAAAATTGGATGAAGGGCTTCAGGGGAATAGCTTCAGGAGGAAGAGATCGACATACCTTCTTAGTGAGAGAACTGTCGACGTATCGACGCCGTAGCAAACAGATATTGTAAACAGAGATCACCGTAGCAGTCGACATTAAAACGGAATATCTTGATTCTAGCATCTGATTGGCTAGATCATGCATATGCAGTGAATCCAGCCCATCCAAAGCCCAAGAAAAGTCCATGGATAACCCATCTCCCCGCCCATTTTACAATTTGTTCGCCCAAAACATTTCACCCCATGGCTCATGAGATATCTTCAAACCTCTCTCATCTCTGTAATCCCCAGAATATTACGTTTCTGTGAAAGACAGACGTTAAGTCTGAGAGATTGGCTATCTTTTGGTATAAATTTCAACTCTATAAACCTATAATTCATAGATTTGACCCTTGAATCTACAGTTCAACAGAAACATGCACCTACTTCTAATTATATGAGATATATATCTCTACATGTTGACACTTTGGAACTCTCTAAGTACCAGAATACTACGAAAACTTGGTGAAATTGGATTGTTTTTTGGATGACGCCGGTAAACTATAGTGCCTACTGTAGCTGGCTTCATCTACGACCTTAATTACTATGTCGTCGCCGTTGGATCTTGAGATCTTGATTCTTGGGGGAGTTGAACCCCCGGATTGGGAGTTGAAATACTAGATCAGGCCTGGTAAAACGTCGGGCCGATGTATGCCTTGTAAAGGCTTACAGACTGGAACATGCGTAAAAAACAGGCATTAATCAGCGGTTTTATGAGCGCCAAGATCGTAGTTATGCATAGAAATGGGCTATATTGGGGGCCTCATGGGCCCCCACTCATGGGCTATGGGTTGGGGCGGGCTATAGAGGTTAGGCCAACAGCCCACTGCTGGTTGGGCTATGGGCCTAAAGGTCGGGCCCATTTATGGGCTTTGCGGAGGTCTATGCTGGACCGGGGCGTGATTGTCCAGTTGTCTGCTTTCCAACACAACATGATCCTTTCAGGATTACCCCGGAAGCTTGTCCAACCTTGGTCCTACGAAAAGGACGTGCAGACAGAACTAAGCACCTTGGCGCTGGCAGCCGAAATGACATCACTCGAGAACCATCTAGCGTCGGAAGGTAAGCCAACCCGAGCATTATCCTAATTCTATTCGCTCGCTTACATCACCCGCAGTGATCAAAGTCAATAACACTGTGCTTGAAGAGATACTGAGAAGACATCGAGATCTCCGCCACCGCCCGGAGCCAAACCAGAGATCGGCGGGCTCTCCCTTTCCCCTGGAATCTGCCGAAGAGCCAGCCCACTTGACGCCAACGCAGGTTGAAGCGAGTTCACTTGATGAGAATGCTATCGAGACTCAAGGAACTGACTTGCAACCCAGTGGTTCAATACAGGGTGCTGGAACACGGAACAGTAAGTAATGCACATGAGAAACGTGGCATTAAAATTGAAGAGATTGAAGAAATGTACTAACCATTGGAATGTATCAGTCGCTAAAAACAGGGCTTGGCCTCCAGAAGTATTGAAGCGGCTTCCTATATGGTTCGAAGACCAAGTAAGGAAGAACCTGTCACAGGAAGAGATCGCCCAAAATTTTCACCAAACATTCAAGCAAAAACGGACTTTCCATGCTATTGAGGCAAGAGTGTATTTCTTAACAGGGAAGAGTCCTTTCCGGAAGCGCAATAAGAGGACTTCGCGCAAAGAACCTGTGTCTGACACCTCGCTCCTCCCCACCGCTTTCTCAACCCTTTGAAGTGGACTTGACCCAACAATTGATCTCGAGGTCGAACATCGAGGTTCACGCGTTACGTCTAGCCCCAAACTTGCTACCCTACCTGAATTCTGACGACTGCGAGGATGGAAGCCTTTACGCCCTTTATGATGTTCAACCGGTTGACCCTGAATCAGAATCCAGCGGCCCCCATGCAGTACCTGAAGAGGATGCTGCAAATCAAACATCAAGCTGCCGGTACTCATCTCAAGGGCATGAAGTTCCGTCAGGTACAAGTCAAAATGAATGGCGAGTTCAAGGAAGCCCTCAGGCTGGAGAACCGCCTAAAACCCATCCGGTGTTCTCAGATCTGGTGCCCGAGAGTCAGCCAAGGAATGATAATTCAATCAATGTCCTCGCCACAACATCAGGGACGGTTGATTCCTACTTTCCGCGAGACTCTCCCTTAGGATCCCCTCGGACATCAGAACCTATCCAATCTCCTATTCGGCATCGCTCTGACGGCGATGCCACACTTGAAGAGCTGGGCCAAACGCTTATCCATGGTACTGAGTCCAGTGCAATGCACGTGCAACAAACAGACACGCCGCATGACAACCAACCATTAGGGAGACTTTCTCCGCAATTTTCACCACGTGGAACTTCATTGGCTGGAGGTTCAGCAAATGAGGGTTCCAATCATGAAAGCCACCCAGAGAGCGGACTCGGTGCATTGACTGTTCCCAGGGCATTAACGCTCTTCCAAGTTCCGGAACCAAGCTCCACCGATAAAGCGACTGAGTACCACTCTCAGAACTGCGGAAGGGATGGGTCAACCACCGATACCTCTGGAAATCTGGGTGAAGAGGAATTGACCATAAGATATCTTCATGAAAAATCTCGAGCGCAGGCGGAGAGTTCTCATCGCTCATGGATTGCTTAGGACCTGGACCGTTTATCAGGGTGGCTCATGAAACGGAAAAGCCTACGAAAGGAAAGACTTGAAGTTGAGTTTGTGAGAGACTTTGGACACTACCGAACTTCCTCTGCCATCCGTGCAGCTTGCCGCAAAAAGCGAAAGGCAGATTCTCGCCAAAAGGATGTAACACATCACCTAGCTCCGGTTGCCCCCGCCGTTCTCGATACTACGCCAGTATCACGATCACCCAACGCCATCATCGACACTCCGAGCTTGGACCCATCCCATACGATAACAGTACTGAGCAATGATAATACTACATCCAAGCATCCGCTGTTAGCCTCGATCGCCACAGCTTCATCACCAGCCGCAGGTTCAAGACAACACAGAAAGACTTTCTCAAAGCAGTCCTTTACTATTGAATGAGGATGAGGAAGCAGTGGCTCAAATTCCACTGGCTGTTGTTGCCTCCGAACCAGCTTCTGGACAGATGTTGCTTTCAAGTTCTCCTGAGAATGTCCAAGATACCCCCACGTTGGGAAATCGTTGCCATCGAGTTGACATCACGCCAAACCCTCTGGCCAGGTTCACAGCAATCAATGGCGGTAACTTCCAACCCACCGATCCAAATATAAGCGAAATTACCCCGCTTGTTCAGATGGAGTCCAACGAGCAAGACACTCTACCTGATGGGCAAGGAAGCCGACGAGTATCAAAAGTAAAGTCTGTCGAGCGGAGAGGAGATGACCAAATCATGTCACAGGAAAAAGGGTCCCACAGTAAGCTCTCCTCTAATGCAGTGTCCGGCATAGTCACTTGGCACTTTGAAGCGTACCACATCTGTGTCATCAGATCTTTTCTTCCCCTTTTTTCCTTTTTCTGTCTATGTTTCCCACACTGATAGTTTTCATTCGCACTTGCAGGTGGAAGAGGACGCCTTAACCAGCCTATCTCTGAGTACACACAGGCAGGTTCGCATTACTCAAGACTGTCTACCGGAACACCCGAAGGAGCTCAAAACCAGCAGTCAGTCTCTAATGGTATTTCGAACGCCGACATTCCAGAACAGGAAATGCACCCAAACTTGCAGAACACGTCGCAGCCTCAAGTGCGAGATATCAATATCCCACCAACACACATTCTCCAGCACAGAAATATATTAATCCCAAATAGCCCGTTCAACGTCCAAGTTTCAAACCGTCGACCATCCCATCTCTGCACGCCAGATTCACAATCTAGGATTTCTCAAACGAGCGGTGTATCAGGGAGGGCTCACACAGGCGGTTCGTTCATACTCTATACTCGTGGCCCCCGCAGTCCTGACATGTAGAAGCAGTTGTTCCAATATCAGTATCATCATCCTTCCAGAGCAGCCCTACGAGTCTTCCTCACTATCCCCTTCATGAATTGCAGGGACGCGGTGCCGAGCGGTACCAGGGCCCTCCTCTCCCATCATGGGGGCAGCAAATGTATCACCAACGTGCGGATGAGCCTCTTCATAGATAGTCGCATGTGCTGTCTAGCCCTTATACTTCCCGACTATCACACATGGCCTAACATCCTCTACTTCGGTAGTAGAGCCTCCATTTAATTAGATATTGCATGCATGGTTTGGATGATGCTAGTTTTCAACTCTCAGTCATTATTTCTTCTTCCCTGGTTGCCCGGTCACTATGTGTATGCATCGATTTACGTTCTCTTTCCTCTTTTTCCTCTTTCACTTGTTTTATTTCTTACCTTACTGCCACCGTATGAATGTACATATAACACAGGCCATAGTGACAGAAACTTCTGTCTGCATCAGCAAACTAGTTGTAAAAGTGAACTCACTGTATTCTACGGCCTGCAAATAGTATCTGCACCAAGAGGTCTATACTAAATGTTGAAGATTAACCATATCAGCCGAAACAAACAGCCTTGATTGATCTTACAGGAAGCGTAAACAGACCCCACTTTTACAGTCATTGAGCGTCGTACGAATTTTATGGCACACTAACCTTTGGGCTTTGAAAAGCAAGTCTCATCTATTTACCTGACATTTAGATACGCAAAAATAGCAGGAAAAGGCTACCTAGTATGTAAAAACGCTTGAGCAATCACATAACAATTGTGCTGTTTACTCGGTTTTTCAGGGAATGCATCACGCAAATATAGTTTCACATGAATTACTTGACATTTGCTGAATTTAAATCATGCTATACATTGGCTTGGGCGCTAGTAAATACGTCAATAGCACACGCACCAGCTCACAAATTTAGATTGCCTGCCTGCTTTTGCCAGATTTATTCGACAGAAGCCAAACCCGTGCAATATTTTAGCCGCAGACGACTACTAAATCGCAGCTCCTCATGCTAAACGAGCCATATGGTTTCTTGCCACAGGCTTTCTTGCCACTGAGGTTCCACGTAGCTCCCATCTATGAAGATGCTAGTCGTGGGGTCGATCGGCTCAAGACACAGCAAGTGGTGGTGCGCTTCATCAGGAAGCGCAACCAAGCCACTGGAATAGCTTCCTTGGAAATCACCTCCCATAGGAGCGACAAGGTTTTCCAGAATGCCTTCGGGATGAGACCCTAAGCCAACTTGGATCCATCCCATACCATAACAGTACCGAGCAATGAGAATACACTCAGGCATCCACCGTTGCAGCGACCTAGATCGCGACAACTTAATCAGCTGCAGGTCCTGGGCAACACAGAGAGACTTTCTCGCAACAGTCCTCCACCATTGCATGACGGTGAAGAAACAGTGGATCAAAATCCACCAGCTGCTGTTGCCTCCGAATGCGCTTCCGAACAGCTGGTGCTTTCAACTCTTCCAGAGAATGTTGAAGGTACATCCACGTCGGGCAATCGGCGCCATCGAGTTGAGATCACGCCAAAACCTCCGGCCAGATTCACAGCAATTAATGGTGGTAATGTCCATCCCACTAATCCAAATGTAAGCGTAATGAATCCGCTTGTTGAGATGGAGACCAGTGAGCGAGGCGCTCTACCTGATGGGCAAGGAAGCCAGCAAACTTCAATGGAAAAGATTGTCGAGCAGAGAAGAGATGACCAAAATATGTCACGGAAAGACGGGCCTCAGAGTAAGCTCTCCTCATCTAATGCAGTTCGCTATAGTCATTTGCCCCTTTGAAGCGTGTCGATCTATGTGTTACCCGACCTTTTCTTCTCTTTCTTCCTTTATCTGTCTTTGCTTCCCACACTGACTGTTTTCATTCACACTTGCAGGTGGAAGAGTGGCCGCCTGTTTATCTTCCTGGGTATCCACAACCTCTGCCTTCACCTGAAAACACTGCTTTTTACGAGAAGGAACCTGCCGTTTGGATAGCTTGGATGTTTTCATTAGGTCTTCTTGATCGAAGCAGTACAGCTACATTTAGATGCAACTTTGCCTGACTGGTATGCACTGATGACCAACGGCGAGACTAGCTGAGAATGGCAAAAATCTCCGAAGAGTCAGCTGCCAAACTGGTTGCTCATGACCCATAGAGTCAAATCTGCGTTCGATGTGGAAGTTCTCCCATCATTGTCCTCTGCGTACTAACAACATACATCAAGTATCGTTTAGCATCCAAAACGAATTTACTTCTATTCGAAACCATTCAAATATCCTTGAGCGAGCATGGAGTGCCTCGGTATTCCTATTGATCATCAACTGCGGCGACTAATTCGGGATGTTCGGCCAATCGACACGAACGGAGAAGATTCTGATCACATTCAAATTCTCCAGGAATTCGGAACTTGACTCAAAATCGGGACAAGTGACTATCTTACAACGAGTGATTTGAGCTTCGGAATCGAAATGGCACGACCTGAATCCAGAGGTGGTATAGTGGTTGTCTTACAGCAGCCCCATTCCTCGCAAGATAACTCGGACGGCTTCTTGGCGGATAAACGCAGTTGCTCTATAGCACTCAACATCATCTGGCTTCTCACGATTCTGGAGACGAACTTTAAAGAGCGAAGGTACTTTGAAGAGAATGAGATGATACAGAGGATACCGCAGAACTGAGAAAAAGGCGAAACCGTTATTCCAAATGCTCGTTAACATTCTGGAGATGTGCTCGAAGAGAGTCTTCGAGGGAACTGGGGACAAAGAAATGAGGTGGGTGTCTTCTAGCCAAGGTCGAGGTGTTTTGCAAACTGCTCAAACAACGGGACCATAGTCATTGACCAATGCTAATCCACTATATGCATAGGCCCACCTTTTGATCAGGGAGAGAGGTATCCAACATTTTGTCTAAGAATCATCTTGAATCGTAAAGGCTTAACGCTTGTTTGGCTGGCAAAGGGTAGCTTGGTAGCTACATCATTGGAATACGCGTAAAGCTGAAAAGTAGGAAATTTACAATATGGCTGAGGGACACCCCCTACCAGCGAGAGTGGGGGTGTCTCGTGACACGGCTACCTCGATATTTATGCGTCGCCTCCAATAGACAGAGGACAAATTAAAGGTGCAAAATGCCCACCCAAACGATTATCAGTGCCCTTCGGCGGCGCCCTCGCCCTGTGGGTGCGACCCACCCTTTCCCACTGGAAATCGCGTTGTTTCGGACCTGGTGTAGATATATTGTGTTGAGATTCCTGCATGAATAGATGGTGTATACCAGATATATCAGGCATGAATCAGTCAGCTTGAATCCTTCCTCAAAAAGAGTATAGTTCAGGGGAAATCCTTCCATTTAAATAGGGTCTCTGTCTCATTGAGAAAGAGACCAGACTTAAACACCTCTCTGGAATAGACTGTTTTGCATGCTTCATTCATCCTCCATCATTAGACATTCTAAATTTTAACATATCGTGAATAACTGCGGATATAAAAGGGCCAAACAATCCTGAACCTATAACACCTGAATCTGAATCATTGTTCCAATCTATCCAAGCGATTTGCACTGGGAAACGCAAAGAAGAAGTATAAGGTTCGCATCATCCTGCCTAACTTATTGCGAGCGCTGATTCTGAAGCTGCTTAAATTTAGGAGGTAAATATTTATTTTCTTTCTCGGACACTATGAGGCCCCAACTTGCCCTTCTGCTCCTCTGTGTTAGCGCTGCTACTTGCAGTGTTCTTGGAAAGAGGAAGTCCTGCTCACTCGGCTCTGGGAATGCAACTTGCGTGCAAAAAGGTACAACAATTTGTGCGGGTGAGAGGCCTTCATGCCATAATCACGTATTCTGGTCCACATGTTACTGTCATATGGAGGACAGTGAAGTGGTTTGCGGACCTAGATGCTGAATCTTAAGAGCAAACAATGCTTCAATCTGATCAATACATACTCTTTTATCTTTGTTTTCTGTTTCGTTACTCATTGATTGAGGACTAGCCTGGTTGGCCAATTTGTTGACCCTGAACTTTTTTGCCAAGAAGACCAAATACTTTTTGTTGAAGTTTATATCTGCATGCCCTTTGCCCTTTCTCGAGCAGTTCATCAAGAGAAAAATTTCTGACACTGTAAAACCATGGATGTGACTCCACCTTGGTAACATTGAACGCGTAGAGAATGCGATGGTCACCGCGTCACCGACAGCTTACAAGCAAATGAAAATAGGGTTGGGAATATATTGAAAATTTAAAGCCAATTTTGACTTTTTGTTGGAGTCTCTATAAACTCAGGAATATTTATCGTACAGCAGCATCTCTCTAGTGCCAAAAGGCCGATTCGTGGTATTATTCACTTGACTCCCCGACAAAATGCAAAGCTCCTGCAAAGTTTCTTTCGCGAACCTATCACAAGGCCATCGATGCGCACTTTTCACTCTTCTAAAATTACTGAACTTCCTCAATGACCATCTCAAAATTATGTTGTTGCCGCCGGTAATACTGTGTCTTCGTGGGCACAGTAGCGCCAATCTTTGGGAAGATAAGATAAACATCTGACTGGCTCCCAGGAGCAAATAAGTGGTGCCTCTTCATCCAATCATGTAGAGTCAAAGATGGGTAGATGTGATCGCTCATGCGGGTGAGGGGGCCTTTAATATATCTAAGGACGAATAATAACATGCTGACACGGTCTCACAGGGAAAAAGCAAAGCCAAAGATAAAAAAAGGAGCAAACTTAGATTGTTTGATTTGGCTAATGTAGATTTAAAATACAGCCAGTAAAGTGAATTCCCAACGCTCCAACCTGCATCAACCCGCTATTCGACAACTTCTTATCTCCGCCCCCACCAGGGCGGACTCGTCATAAACCAAGACCGAAAGGGCGCTAGAAGTCTGGATCGCCAAGCTTCTTTGCGCTCCTGCTCGGTTTGTTGCATGTCCATCCACACAGTAGGGGTGATAATTCGCGGTGGTGGTTGTGGATAGTTGGGGTTGGGGTTGTGAGGGATTTGGAAACCTGATCCGTATCTGTTGTGGTCGGGCTCGAATTTTGATGGGGCTAGTTCTGGCCATCGGAGAGGTGGCTCTCTGGTAGTTGCTGACTGAGGCGTTTGCATGTACATGTCCTGATGCATAGATGTACATGATACTGGGTATGCGACAGAATCCGGTCTGGGTCTGGGTTGTGACCCTGTAATATTCATTCTATGATCAGAAAGGTCATGCGGCAAATCCAATCCAGATCTGTCGTTGCTGTGCGTTGAGTTTGCACGCGGCTGCTGGTGCACTTCTGAAGCCTCTTCCATTCTCATGTTCAAGTCGAATTTTCGGTTCACTGTTGGTCTCCCTGACATTGTGAAGTCGCGACAGAAGGCAGCGTAGGACTCTTGAAGGCGCATTTCTCTTGCTGCTTCCACATCTACACTATGGAATTCCTCCTCGATGTCTTCGTGGATAGGCTCGTAGACCATTGGCTCGTGTGATTGATCTGGTAGGTATGAGCCAGGCGAGCCCAGCGCGCCCACACGTGTTGCTTCGTTGAGATCCTTAAGGTTCTTTTCGCTGAGTTGATGTTCCTGTACCCCGGCCCTGAGGATTGATTGCGATATCCTCTTAAAAACGCGCCTCGTCAGCTGCGTCACTGTGTTTCTTCGACGGAGTGGGCGTGGGGATTGCTCCGAGTCTTGTGTAGAGAAAGTAGTGCTCGAGGTGAACGAAGCATTGTCGTTTACGATTATAACGTCTGGCATGTTGACAATATATTCCGATTTCACGGTAGATTGTTGCGACTGAGAACGATGGAGAGGGAAATCAAGTAGGGTTGCCGGGGAATAAATAATACCCCAGGCAACCGAGAAGTGCTACTCAGTCCGAGCTGAAAGAAGTGAAGTTGAAACAACTGCAATCTACAAATACAATGAGCAAGAGATAGCGGTGAATACCCTGGTACTTTGCGCAGTACTCTAGGATACATTGGATGGCACATACCTGCAACAAGGAGATAATGATCTGGATGATCAAACGGCTGGGAGATTCTTTGTTCAACCGACAAGTTTGCACAGGACTTCAAACTATGGCTTGGATCTGCAGGGTCGGGCAGATCTACAATTTGTATAAAACCTCAGGGGCGCTCGGAGTTCCATATATGATTGACAAAGCAAAGAACATGTGCCCTGTCTAGGCTATCACAGGAACGTTCGCGCTTTGCCTTTTGCATAATCAGGGGGTGCCGTGGGTACCGCTACAGCAAGCCACCATGTGAGGCGCTCCTCGAGGTACGTCAGAGGCACTTGAGGTCGAGTGGGCGCGGTTTTGCGATAGGCTTGGGTAGGTTCCGGGGGAGTCAGAGAGGCGTAGAAAGGCCCATCTATGCTCACAATAATCATGTAAACTGCCTGGTAGCTTTTG